CAGTGAGATGAGGGAGATATTGTATTTTGGAAATTAAAAAAATAGATAAATATAACAAAACTTTTTTTTCCAAGAAGGGAGGCTACACTGGAACCTTCCAGAAAGTAAACAAAAATACAAATGAGTTGGGGGTGACCAAAGGAACTTTATGTGTAATGTTTTAATATTTTGCAAGGAGAATGCAGTCAGTCACATCATTTGTGTATTTAAAAACCTGAGCACATGTGGCAATCCCTGTAAAGCCCCTGGTACACAGTAGGTCCCTGGTAGTTTCTCTTCCTTCCAGGAGCCCAGGGCTTGGCAGGCAGCCCCAGATCCTTCCCGACTGGCTCAGCCAGAGGTCACAAGTTTTGAGCAGCTAATTGGATGGTGGTGGTGCTAGCCCCTGGGTCTGTATTCCAAGCAGCACTCCCAAGGGCATGCTTCATTTTTCCTAATTAGGAGGCCTTGATTTATAAGCTATGATGAGGGACACACAAGGTCTCTGAAATTAATTAAGGCTTTGGTCTTGTTTGACTCATGTGGATGGAGGAAGTCCATGAATCTGTAGAAATGACCAAGCCCCCTTTCATCCCAACTTCTCAGCCAGTGTGTTAAAACAGGCAAAAATAAAAAATGAAAAACTTTATTAAAGTGCTTACATTGGAATCACCAGAGGTACTTGTCAGAAGTATGCTTGGGCCCTGTTGTAGACCGCTCTGCCTGGTTTTAAGAATTATATCTCGACCTCTTGTGGCTAAGGGTGAGAGACAACCTTTGGAATGCCAGTGCAGGAGACAAAGCCTGCCTCTGGTAGCAAACGTTACCTCAGTTTCCTCTCCCTGCCCCCAAAGCTTGGTGAGAAGTCAATGATGGGTAAGACCCCTCACTGCGGGAGGCAACCTAAGCCAGATTCGATCACTTGGGAGGCCTTCATGGAAGGACTGGGGGGGGGGGTGGTTTGCAACAAAGAGCAGTGGACTCTCACCCCCCTGGTGATACAGGGTGCAGCGGCGGGGGGGTGGGGGGCAAAAAAAGATTTGGAATGGTGTCTAGAATTCAAAGCGTATAGGAATATTGGAGAGACATATAAGATGTCCTCACACACACCCCCAGGGGGAAGAGACAAATAGAGCCAGGGCCATTGAGAGCTATTTTGCATAGCAACAGTTTTGCAGCTAACCTCTGGAATGATTATTTAACATATCTCTGACCTTTAACTGGTTTCATAGATATGTTAAATAGCTGTGGCCAAGTTTTGAGCCAGGGAGAAGGGAGTGGCTTCTTCCCAGAAGGTAACTAGGGGCTGTGCCCCTGAGTGAGGGCCTGCTTGAGAGCTTGGAAAAGACTGGCTCCGGGAAATGAAGGGTCCCTGCTTGGCCAGATGAAGAGAGAGCCACGCAGTTGGGGGCAGAGTGAGGACCCCTGCAGTCATGTAAGAGAGCCACGCGGTTTCAGCAGAGTGAGGACCCCCTCTTGGTGAGGTGAAAGAGGGAGCCATGTGGTTTTGGCAGAGTGCGGACCCCCTCTTTCCCAGGTGAAAGGGAAAACCACGCAGCTTTGCCAGAATGGAGATTCCTGCAGCCAGGTGAAGAAGAAAGCCACATGCTTTTGGTGGAGTGCGAACCCCTGCAGCTTTGGTAGAAGAGGCCCTCTCGGCTTTGGGATGCCCCCTCTGGCCGCGTGGCCTAGAAAGCAAGAGAGACTTTGACTGGAACTGGGTACAAAGAACTCTTGCCAGTGGACCGTGAGAGGGTACCACAGTACTTTGGATTAACTCGAGATCCTGCACAGTGACACAGCTGACGGTGCCAGCGGCCTGAAAAACAGACGTGTGCTCTTTTCCTGATTTACTGTACCCAGAGTTGGGACAGTGGGAGAAGCGGGAGCTGTGTGGGTGTAGGTGGATACCCTAAAGGACTTTAGTATTTTAGTGGAGGCATTAAGCCTAAATAGCATTAAATAAACATTTTGTTTCCTTTTCACAAATCTCTGGCATTGAGAGATGTCATTCCAATTGGTGGCGGACAGGAGAACCCAGTAGATATTAGTATTTTGTCCTTGGGAGGGGCCCCTGTTGTATAGCAGTTTTTGGCATCCCTAGGTAGGCCAAATATTGTATTGCCCCTCCCTCGGACCTCTTGTTCGGTAACACCAGCTTTGACATAGCCCGAGTCCCCATGTTCTCTGGGAGAGTGCTTCTTGCCTCTAATCCCCTTAAACCTGAATACCTGTTGGGGAGGGGTACAGCTCCTTGCCTTCCTAAAGTGTGTCCTGGGGAAAAATCTGGCATCACAAAGACTTGCTGATAAACCTGTGAAATCTGCTCTGCTAAGAGCACTTTCATTCATATAAGGGTCCGAGAGGAAATAAGTATGACTCCCAAAGTTTCTACAACTCTCTTCCTGACAGACACTGACTCAGACTAAGCCCTCAGATTTCTTTGAAATGTCATCTACTGTTTGATTCTTGCCGCCCTGTATTCTTTCATATTAGAACCCAATAAAAGGCTATGGAGCAGGGGGGCTTGGGGCCTTTTTGTCCTTGGAGGAACTGGCCGCAGCTGGCCATTGTCTCCCCCGAGAAACTGGTCACTGCCCACTTCTCCTCCCCAAGCAGATCCCATCATGACTCAACTACATGCATTTTTGTCTGTGGCACTCGGGGGGACTCGAGAGAAAGTTGCCCCCACAGGGCCCCCTCCTTCATCCTTTGAATAAGCGTTGGGAGTGGGCCCTGAGATTCAGCTAACAGCCCCTGAAGAAGGTGAATATAGAAGCCAGCTCTCAGTTATACAATTATCTCATTTTTCTTTAGTTCAACTCACCCTTATTTGGGTTTCCATTCTACCTGCTCGAAGAAAACATCCTCTTATTCATTTTCAGGTAAGCTCTGTCATCCCGCCTTTCCCCCTGCCGTCTCTACCATTGATCCAAATTTGGGCAGTTCCTTAACACCACAGCACAGGATGCAGGGGAGGGGCTGCTCACTGAGAGTCCTCTCTCTGAGATAAATCGTCCCAGTTCCTGACTTCATGGATCACACATGCCCTCACTTCTATGTCGCTGCTGTTCCTCCCCCCCGCCCCCCCCCAGGATCCAATAGCTCGATAGCAATTTGCCAGCTTTCCAAGCCACACACTTCAGGAAATTTATTTCGCATTCTGTCCTTTCCATGTACTGGACTCCGCCATGGGTGGAAATGGGAATCATTCCTAAACCACTAACATCATGACGAGTCCTCCACTAGTTTCTCTACAGCTGGTGCAGGGACGATATTGGGGCAGGGTTGGAGGGGGTGCTCTGCCTATTTGTACCTCCTTCCACCCTTCCCTTAGACAAAGATACAGTGGCTTTTGAACTAAAAAGTGTAGAATTAGCTATCACTGTTCTCTGGTTAGAGAGTAGAGTAGTCTTGAGGCCAAAACACAAGAGCTAACACCCCACAGCAGAATCTAAGGCCATCATGGAAGCTGCTCTTTTCTTTTTCACATAGGCTGAGCCATCAGACATTGTGTATCCCTGCACAAGGACTGGGGAAGTGGCTGCTCCTCAGAGGAGGATGGAGTTGAGAGCATCTTATCTGAGATCTGCTGAGTCCCCACACCCAATACATAGGCTCCCTGCTCACTCACCTCACCCAGACAGCTAGGAAATGACACCTCTGGTGACACAGGAGTCCCCAGGCTTCTGTTAGAAGGGGATGGGATGCTGCATGAGGAAGGTTCTCAAACCTGGAGGGTCTGGAAAGCCTGGGTGGGAGAGGGAAGAAGCTGGCTCCTGTTTGTCTCAGAGACAAAGACCACCAGCATCCCCTCTCCCCTTCTAGGGACACAGCGAGGACCCCCACTGGGGCTCCCCTAAGAGGCCTCCTTCATCACCTGAAACTTGCCTTCACCCACACCACCAGATAGGCAGTTCATGTGTCCCTACTTCTCTTAGTTGAGGTGCCAGGCCTGCTGGGAATGAGCTGGGTGGGTATGTACAGCTGGTGGGTCTGTTAATAAAACCTAAGGAGAGATCAATCAGGGATGGAAGGGGCCATGGATAATCTTCTCCACCAAGTTCCAGATCAAGCCATGTAACAAATATACATTTCCTGCCTACACAGATAATGTATTTTAAGCCCAGAGACAGGGCTGGAACTATCCAAGGTCATATCTATGAGGCCAATATGCATGTAAAGTATAAACCTTGTAACCTGGGTACTACAGGCACCCCCTTTGCCTGTTATTCTCTTTTCATCAAAACAACAAACAAAACAAAACAAAGGCTGTAGGGCCTGGGGAAAAAGGCTGATGCCTCTCCTTGAAGCCAGGGTAGATGACCCAACTCTGGGCCAGAGCTAGGCTTTAGCCAGTCCGCAGCCATCACGTAAATGAAGCAGCCCCACCGCGAGGACGCCTCATACCCTCCTCCCTGGGGTTCTAAGCTTGCCTTACCTCAGTCGGGCCTAGCCTGCCAAGCACCCCTGGTCTGAACTCCGGTTGTGTGGAGGGGTAACTTTCACACCGCAGTGACTTAGCTAGGATGTGGGGGAAGGGCCTGCCTCATATCCTTTCCTTCATAGTTTCCTACTGAGGGCCCATGGGCCCCAGACCTCCTTTGGGACATCCCCCTGCAAGGTGGTTCCCAACTCTACCTCAGCACCAGGGTCCCAGCTATTCTCATTGCCCTGGGACCTGTACTTACCCTTTCTGACTTCCCACCCCCAGCCCGTTCCAAGAGCTGAAGACGAGTCACCAGGCATTGGGACCTGGCTAGAGGGTGAGACCTTGGGCTGTGTGGGGCGCGGACTGATTTAGAGGCTTGGGGGAAGCTGTGTGGTCTCTGGTCCCAGGAGGCAAACTGGCGGGGAGCGTGCGGAAGCTGCAGCAGGCTAGCGGCGGGAGGTGAGGGGGGGGCCCGGCTGCGCCCAGACGCGGCTCCGCGGGCAGGCCCCCAGCCCCGCCCCGGCCCGCCCCCGCGGCCCGGCACCGGACCAGTCACCAAGGCGCCCCACCCCCGTCCGCAGTGCCCGGATGTGGGTGACGTGCGGCCGCCATCTTCCCGTCCCCGGCAGCCAGCGCCAGTCGGAGCTAGCGCAAGCTGCCTACCCTGCCGGTGCTGCCAACATCCCTGTCGCTGCGAAGTCCCGCGCCCGTTGCCCCCGCCATGTAAGTCAACCGCCCTTGCCCTTCCTGCACTGGCCTGAGCCGACCGCCGCCTTGGGGACGGGGGCAGGGTTCGACCCGCGCCCAACGCCCGGAGGCTGGGCCAGCGCCCGTGACTGCGCGCGGGCGGTGGCTGCGGGAAGGTGCAGACCCGGTGTCTGCCTTCTCGCCCCGCCCCTGTCATTTCGGGTCGACCCCAGACCTTGTCTCTGAGATCGTCCTCTTTTAACAGGCGGGGAAACCGAGGCCTGGATGGGGGAGGGGGTCTCATTCAAGGTCACTCATCTTTCAGTTGGTGTGGCCAGACGGTATCCAGGGCTCCCATCGGGTGGCCTTCTTCCCGGGAAGAAGGGAGGGACAGATGGATGGACAGGCAGATGGGCGGAGCCCTTACTGCGGGGCCGAAGCATTCAGGCCCTGGGTCTTACTCCGTTTCTGCCCCTCAGGTCGGCTACCGCTGCTACCGCCCCCCCTGCCGCCCCGGCTGGGGAGGGAGGTCCCCCTGGGCCCCCTCCAAACCTCACCAGTAACAGAAGACTGCAGCAGACACAGGCCCAGGTGGATGAGGTGAGTTGGGGAGGAGAGGGTGTGCCAAGGGCAGTGGGAAGGACCCTGTGGGCTGGTAAACTAGTGTGGGGATCCACTTGGGCTAGGGGTGATGACAGGTCACGTTTATAAGTTTTGGAACAAAGATACCGTGCCCCATTCCTGTCAGCGTGCACCTGGAAGGTCCCTGAAGTGTTAGCCTTGTTAGCCTGGGTATTTCAGCCTGGGCAGATGTGCCGTGGTGACAGGCAGGCTGCTTGAAATTCGATAGAGGGTGCTGCTTAGACATCTGAGATGTCTGGCTATCAGCATGCTCCCAATATGTGTGTCTTGCATGTGCTCAAGTGTGGTAGACGTGATCTATGTGTGGCCTGGCAACATCAGGATGCATATTATATATATATATAGGCACATGGTGGTCCCAGAGTGCCCTCATTGAGGTGGGCCTTGTCACACCCCCTGCCTTGTGGTCTTCTTTAGGTGGTGGACATCATGAGGGTGAATGTGGACAAGGTCCTAGAGCGGGACCAGAAGCTGTCGGAGCTGGATGACCGTGCAGATGCACTCCAGGCAGGAGCCTCCCAGTTTGAAACAAGTGCAGCCAAGCTCAAGCGCAAATACTGGTGGAAAAACCTCAAGGTAAGGGTGGAACCAGTTAGAAGGACTGGTGGGTGAATGGGGGTTTCATGGTCCGTCTCACTGACTCTCCCCTCCCACCTCCAGATGATGATCATCTTGGGAGTGATTTGCGCCATCATCCTCATCATCATCATTGGTGAGTATGGTAGGAGTGGGTAGTGCCCTTTTCTTTGGAGAGGTTTCCCCCACGAGTTCTGCAAAAAGCACATATTCAGCAAAAAGCATATAAAGCTGCCATTGGTGGCTCTGATTCATCTAGAGCCCAAAAGTTTGATGTTGTTTAGTCTGCACTTTGGTTGTAGGCAATTATTCTAAGATTTTTGGAAACAGGAAAGCTGGTAGATCCGCACCGCTCCCTTGAGGACCTGTTGTGCCTAAGACCCCAGTCTGGGAACCCTGGAATTGGGGGCTAGAGAGCAGGAAAAGCCTGGGGGAATTGAGACATGGCTAGGGAGCCACTGTTTAAGCGGTCCTGGTTTCAGAGGCCATGGCATGGGGTTGAAGAGACCTTAGAACCCACCCATCCAGCCCCCTTGCTTTACATGTGGATAGTCTGAGGCCCAGAGGGGAAGGGATATTGGCCAGCTGGGGAGTGGGGAGGGTGGAAGCAGGACCAGGCCTGACACACTGCTTTCTCTCCTCTCTTTTCCCCCTCTCCCTCTTCTTCCTTCTTTTTCCGTCTATATAGTTTACTTTAGCTCTTAAACCCCTGAGGAGCCTGCCCAGAGAAGGGCCTCTCATCCCCACCCATCCCCAGCCGTTACCCCACCTCCCAGCCATATCTTCCAGCCCCCCACCCATGTGTGTGTCTGTGTGTGTGTCCCCCTGTAAATAGCCAGCTGTTATTTATACATATATAATATTATATATATTTGGTCTGTTTGTAGTTTTATTACTAGAAAATTTTTCTGGTTGTCCTTTAACACCCCTTCCTGAGGTTCCCATCACCTTTCTCTTTCCTTCCTTCCCTTTCCCTGTTTTCCTGACCAGCCCCAAGTCCCTTCATTTGCATCTGCTATGCAATAGTCCCTCTTCCTCTCCTTTCCTTGGATTTGGCTGATCCTTCCTCCCACCCTGGCCTTCCCCATACCCCCACCCTCCCTACAAAAAACAAAAACAAAAAGCAATTGTCCAGGCCTCCCTAGGTGCATCTTTGCATTATTTGGGAGGCTCTGAGACTGGTGTATCCCACTTGGCCCTAAGAATCCCAAGGTCTGGGAGCTCCCAGCATGTTAATTAGCATTCATTTGCATACTGGCATCCCTTTTGGTTTCCTTCCTTTTTGTTCATCACTCTTCTGTTCATTCTTTCAACCCGTGGTTGATTGGTTAGTTTGTTTTTTTCCACTGAGGAATTAGTCCTCATTGGTCACTGTATCACAGTTTTATTTGCATGACATTATTTGTAGGTGGTGGGGAGCCTGGGCTTTTGGGGAGCCAGGCTGTTCTGGCCCCCAGAATCATCGCCTAACCCCTGTAGTCCAGTTTGCCTCCTCTACCCCCATTTTCCAAACCTCTTGTCCCCTCCTCTCCCTCCCTGGAGCTGGTGTGTAAGTGTCTTGGAGTTCAGTGTGTTATGATGGACCAATAATTCTGCCACATGGAGTTTCTCCCCACATTCCTGATCCCCAGTTTTCATGTGGGGTGCTCAACTGACATTCCCATGGGGTCACCCTCCCTCCCATCTGTCTGATCTTCCCCATCCTCCTCCCACCAGGAGAGTTGGGGGTTGGCCACAATCTGATCTCTTTTGGGAGAGGTGGCTGCCGATGTCTGAGGGGTCATCACTGCCTTGGAGAGGAGTGGAGCAGGGCAGAGAATCTTCTCAGTTCCTGCCTAAAGTCTCCTCTGGCCCCAGCCCTCCTGGGGGTTGGACTGAAAACCCTCCTCCCCAGTTTGGAGGGTGTTGCCTCCTTCACTGCCCAGCTCCTCTGACTGCCCCCATCCTGAATTCAGGGTGGGGGGTACTAGTCACTGCCAATGTGTGTGTGGGACTTGTCAGAAGATGGAGGTTCTTGCTCTTCTCCAGGGTGGTTGAGCCCAGAGAGACCTGTCTTCTCCTTAGGTGAAGTGATAGGGGAAAGGTCTAACGTCTTTTTAAATGGCACAATTTTGGGGGGTCTGAGGGTACAGTCCCTTAAACTGTCACTCGAGGGAACCCCCCCCCCCAACTCTTTCCCCCACACTCAAGGTTTCTGTGTGGAGGGGGAGCAGGGAGATCTAAAATGTGGTGTGAAAGGGTAGGGAGAGATGCTGGGGTGGGGGTGCTGTGCTCTAGATCCCCCATAATATCCCAGTGTCCTCTGCCCCCCATTCCCTCACCCCATGCCCCCAATTCTGTGGCGCATCCAGATTGTGAAAATGTACAATAAATGTGTAATGAGTAACTAAGTGGTGTCTGTTTTGAGATCTTTTCTTAACCAGTGGGAAAGGTATTGGATCTGCAAGTTTAACCAGAAGGTTGAGAAGATATATTGGGACGGAACTGAGCTTTGCTGGAGGGCCTGACCTTGGGCAGGGCAAAGTGTGATTCCCACATTGGCCACGGTGGGGCACCAGGCGGCTTCAAGCGTGGTTAATGGGAAATGTTGATGATTCCTGTGTCACACCCTGGTGAACCTTGAGGTCTAGGTTTCCCAGCTTTCCCTCTTCCATTGGCTGAGGGTATGCTCTTGCTGTTTGTTGGGTCCCTTTTACCCCTTAATTTAACTCCCAGACACTGTGCAGTCACTTCTGTATTCATTTACACCTTCATCTGAAGTAAATGGCCAACTTCAGTGAAGCATCTCTTCCCCTTAGTACTTAGCACAGTCCGTCATACAGAAGCGGTTAATAAATACTGAACAAATTGGCCCTTACTGCTGCACTGTTATCAGACTCACGACACTAGTCCATGATGCCCCTGTTACAGCACCCTAGCTTTCTTGTCCCCAGATGCTTTAACAATGAGTGTAGCCTAGATAGTGTTTCCCAAACTTACCAGTTCTTAAGAACTACCAGGAATTCTTTGAAAATAGATTTTTAGGCACCTTCCCTGGAGATTCTGATTCAGCAGTTTAAGGGCCTGAGATGATTTTTATAATTAAGTACAGAGTTATCATTATTCACCATTTTTAAAGGGTTTATGACCCTTTATAATTAAGTGCTCAGGACTTTTTGTATTTCATCTACTGCATACTTAAGGTTTAGGGTTCCCATAGGCACTAGGACCTGCTTTCTTCATAGTGCTAGGGACCTGGGTTCAAATCTTAGCCTCATTACTGACTAGTGCATTAATCCGGACAGATTATGTAACCTTTCTGATAAGAACAGATACTACACTTGAGCCAGATGGCAGAGAAGTGATATGTACCCTTTCTGGATCTCAGTCTCATTTATGAGGCAGTGGGTAGTAAGGAAGCTAGCCTCCGGGTTTGTGAGAAGCTCCTGAATCCATAGAAAATCTAGGAGCCTGCTGTCATAATCTTTATCCTCATGGTGGCAGTGAGGTCTGAAGACAGCTCTTCACCCTATTCGCACCTTCCAGCTTCTAGGAGCCTCAGGGACTCAGGGCAGATGTCTCAGCTCTAGGGAAGGCGGTGACAGGGTGCAGAAGCTGCGATTCTCCCTCTCAGGGTCTCCGCACAGGGCGCCCTTATCAAAGCCACTGCCGCACGCCTCAACCACACCAGCGCCTGCGCAGACTCTACAGCTTCCAGTGCAGTGTCGTCAAGGAAAATCCCCAGCTTCTAGGTAAACAAGATGCCGCGTGAGAGCGCCCGCACGTGTCCTCTACTGCTCCGAAACCTCTCAGCCTATGAGAAAGTTTGGAGGGCTGGGCCAGCATTCGCGTCACGGCTCTAGGCAAGTGGGGGGATATTGCCACAGCCAATATGGACTTCGGAAGTGAATGGGGGAGCGGCTTTCTGCCAATCAACGGGCACTGTGGGCTGCCCGCCCGCACGTGGATCTGTCACTGAGGATTGGCAAACTGATTAACGAGATGATGACGGGCAGCAGGCAGCACCAATGGTGGCTATGCGGAGGTCTGCTGAAGGCACGCGGCGAAGGGCATGGATCCGCACCCTTAGTCCAATAAGCTTGAGGGGCGTGGCATCCCAGCTGGTGGGCAGGCTTGCAGAAGCAAGTCCGGGTCTCAGTGGCCCTAGTTAGGAAGACGCTGGACACCTGCGTGCTTGCCAAGCGGTAAGTGCTCAGGGGAAGGGGGAGATGAGTGGTTGTGAGTTTTTCTGGGGTGGTGTGTTCTGATAGTAGAGTTGTTAATGAAGTGTGTGTGCGTGTGTGGGGTTGGGGGAGGGCGTGGGGATCCTGGGAATGCATGATCGCAGCGGTGGGAGCCCTGATCCTTCTGGGGAATAGAGACCAGAACTCAGCATTGGAGGGACAGGGGTGGGGGCCAGGGGGTGTCTCCGAGATCCGATCCTTCACCACCCTAGGCCACCTGGACCCTTGACTGCCAGGGAGGTGGGGATCGGAAGCTCTCAGCGACCTGAGGGAGCTGAGACCCCTGCTCCCAAGGAAATGCAGTGTCGGGGGTTCTGAGAGTGTGGGGGACGTTCCTGTGCATGGCTGCTGTCTGGGTATGTGCCTTAAGCACTTGAAAGAGGCAGGGATTCTGAGCTGCAGGGACGCCCCGGTAGGGCAGGTAGGGGGACTCAGAAGGCTTGACATTTTGATGATTTGTGTGACCCTGAGCCAGTCATGTCACAGCTCTGGATGTCTTATGTGTAAAGGGAAGCTATCCTTGGGAGTAAAGGTGAGGTGTAGCAACTGTTGAATCCTGAGAGGGAGGATGGTGTTGTACAGACTGGCTGTGCATGTCTTCCTGAGACCCTGAAGGAGAGGAGGAACTAACAGGGTACTCTGGTAACTGTACAAACAACTATGCCTGTAGGAAAGGTGGAAGAGTGATGAAGTTCGGGTTCCTAGGACATCACTGGGGCTGGTAGCTGCTAGGATGATCTCAAGGACTTTGGGAGCATGTGAAAACTGGGCTGTGATAACTGAAAATGTGTAGGGAGTGCAAACTGAATATCCTAAATGAGAGAAGGGGTTGGATGGAGTTTGTGTTCCAGGCACCAAACTCAATCTCCTGGACAATTGAGACGTTCAGGTTCCCCAGTGCTGGGTAACCCTTCACAGGTTCCAGCACAACAAGCCATTCTCAGAGGTCACATTTGAACTCTGAGCTCTATTTGTTAAGAGCCTGAGAACATATTATGAGGCAATTTAGTCGTCTTTAGTGACTTGTGAGCCTTAGTAAGTCCTTGTGGAATGGGGAGAGTAATACCCACCTCACAGGGCTGTTCTGGGGATTAAATAAAATAATGTATGTAAAGTGCTTGGCACAATGCCTGGATCATGTTTTTTTAAATTATTTTGCTGAAAAATGCCTATAGGCTGATGAAACAACAGTGGCAGGATGAGAGATTTATGTGAATTTTTTGCTTAGAAATTATTCTTACATTTGCAAGTTTTTCTGCAAGTGAAAAACTTGCAAATGTAAGTTGACTCCCTCCGCATTTCCCTCTTCCTGGTTCTGGTCTTCAGGCACCTGCCCAAATCCCTCATTCCATCCTTTTACCCCTCTCCCAAGAGCCAGGCCTAGGCTGAGCCACTTGCTGTCCCAGTTCGGTTTCCTCATCCTACACCCATTCTCCTTCCTTCCCCTCCTTCCTCTTTGCCATGGTAACAAGAGATTCAGGCTCTGAAGGGGGCCTTTGAAGGAGCAAAGGTGCGTGTTTTCTCACAAAACCTGGGCCTCTAGCTTCCCCACCCTGGCTGTTTGGAATTCGGCCAGCAAATGTGTACAGTTTGGGAGAAGGGGGAAGCCAGTGCCAAGAGCTGTGGGAACAAGCCTAGGGGA